AGCGATGAGTGGATCAGGGCAAGTGATTCTGAATACTTGAACTATTCGGCAACAAACCGTGCTCCCTACGAAGCACGATCGGTGTGAGGGTTGTGCCGAACTGGCTGGGCAACGCTATTCGCACATCCACACTTCGGTAGTAGCTGGAGATCCCTCTGGGCCACGATCGGTTTGAGGGGTGCGCCGGCGGGCCGACGCTGTGCGCACACCCCCACTGGGGCAGTAGTTTGAACTCGCTGTGGCACTGTCTGTGTGGAAGGTGTGCCGAAACTGTCATGCGGGCAGCAGCAACGGCTCAGTAGCGGAAACATGCAGCAGGCAGTGCAGCATCAGCGGGGAGGATAGTGCGGGAGGCGGAGAGGACGAAGCGGGCGCACGGAGCAACGGAGAGGACGAGGACCGAACAAGACAGAAAATTGTTTTCGCCGTCTCGACGTGACAATTCATATGGGTCTCCCTTTTGCGCCGCAAACCAGCCAATGAGGTCCCACGTCAGTGCTCCGGGCGGGTGTCCAGGTAGATCCGCAGAAGAAGCAGCGACAGGGTGGGGCAGAATCGCAACATCTTGTCGAGCTGTGCTCTCAGAGTAGGTCTCAAGATGGCTCAAAGACGACCCATCACAATCCTGAGATTGGCCCAGACGGCTCCCAAAGAGGGCTCCATACGCTTCCAATAGCATCCGCAATTATCCTAACGAGGACCCCAATGCGCCAGTTGTCTGCCTCCAAACTGGGGCTTTAACTGCCCTTGCCTCATGGCGGTAAGTAGCAACAAGAGGGCCCCAGAGGCTCCCAAAAGTTCCCCGGAAAGTACCACCAAGAGGATCGCATGAGCAAGAACAGACACAAGCGAGCCCAAGAGGCTCCAGTAGGACTTCCATACACGGGCTTCAAGAGGGTCCCAAGCTCGCTCTTTTCGGTGTGAGTTCGAGCTGCTTGATACTCCTCTTGGTGTGACTGTTGCCCCTCCTCCTTGTTTCGCGTAAGTTCCATCACTTCCCTCCCCGCGAAAACTCACCAAACTATACCTGCTGGATGGGCCGCTGGGGATGCTCGTAGCCTGAAGCACATGCTGAAGAACAATCATAACCAAGCATGAGAACCTGCCATGCAACTACAACAGGAAGCAAATCATCAAAGCGGCGCAACGCGGTGCCTCTGCCAGCTTGGCGCAATGCACCTGGGCCAATCCCTCGCTCTTCCCGGCCTTAGGCTCACCACTCTCGTCACCCGCTGCGCCTCTGAGAACACGTTCCCACCGCGCGCTGCCAGGCCACTGCATCTCGACCCTTCACACCTGGCGCCTGCCCCCGCCAAGCCCGCCACCACGCCGACGCGTGTGCCCCTCCAGAGAGTAGCCCACCACCAAGCCTGATCGCCACCACTCCTGCGCGCCCTTTTGATGCACTTAAGAATGGCCCCAAGCAAGAGCACCCTTTGGTGCGCGCCCTGCCGGCCGTTGCGCGCGGTGCAGCAGCAGCAGCAGCAGCAGCAGCAGCAGCAACGGCCCGCGTGCCTGGGCTTGACCCGGAAGCGCCCCCCGAGAGCCGCGCACCAAAGGTCACTCAGGGTCAGTCTGATGTGCAGCCGAGCCACGTGCCCCGAGCGGCAGCTTGGCGCGCGCGCGACCGTGCGCCAGGAGCCTGGGGCCCTCCGGCGCAGAGGTCGCGCCGAGCGGCGGCGACCTCACGCGCGCGCACGCGCCGCGGTGCGGGCGGCTGCGGCACGCGCGCGCGCGCCTGCAGCCGGTCCGCGCAGCCGCCCTCCGGCGCGTCGACCGCGCGAGCGGCCAGGAAGCTGCACATGGTGTCGAAGCGCGGCACCTGGCCGAGCGCAGGCCCTGGCCCATCGCCACTCGGCGCCGCCGTCGGCGCCGCCGCTGCCGCCGTCGACGCCGCCGCCGTCATCGTCGTCGATGTCGCCGTCGTCGTCGCCGCTGCGGCCGCCGTCGTCGCCGCCGCTGCCGCCGAGGTCGTCGCCGTCGCCAGAGGACGGCCCCGCCAGCACCCTCCTCCATCCCTTTCCTTACAGAAAACTCCTCCCTGCCGCACCCCCAGACGTGTCAGCGGGGCGGGCCCGGCGCTTCGCGTGAAACTTCCCCAGCACTCCACCGATGGACTGGGAGTGTTTTTCAAAACGGAGGTCTCGCCTCAACGTCGCGCACATTCGTCTTAAAACCTTGCAACAGCTACACGGAGAGAGGGGGTCATAATGAGCTCCCGCCGTAGCGCCGCGCGCATTCGTTGTAAAAGCTTGCAGTGGCTACTGGGATAGAGGACAGTCCTTTTCGAAATAGAGCTCCTTCTCGAAAACTCCTTGAATCTGAAGACCAGGCACTTGATCTTCGGGCGTTCCGCCCTCACTGTGCATTGGTATGTTACACGACGGCAGGGGGCATCATATTGCCCCGTGTGTGCAGGCCCGCCATCCCTCTCATAAAGAAAACTGCAATATGAACGTGTCGGAAAAATCCCCCGACCCATTGGAGTGTCCTCAGCGTGTGAAATGCTTACCCCTCCCCCGACCCCTCCCCCCATACCCTGATCCGGTCGATTTGGAGGGAGGGGGGGCCGCCCGTTTCCCAAGGGCCCGGCCCCAACGCATCATGGGAGGATAGAGGCCCCCACAACGAGCCCAGAGGGCCCAAAGAGGTCCCCAAGACAGTCCAAGAGGGCCCCCAGTCGCCGAAAGCTCCAGACGGCCCAAGACGCCCCCGAAACGCCCCCAGAGACGCCCTCCCAAGAGGGCCCCACGAGGCAACATTCGTAGATTTTCAATCCGATGTTGAAAGATTTTAGCGTTCTCGCCTTTTCGGTTTCCCGGCGCTCGACGACGGCCCAAGAGGCTCCAAAAATCCCCCCAGAAGGCCTAAACAAACGAAGAGGGCCCCACATACACACTGACGGACTCCAAGGAGCCCCGAGAGGCCCCCCCCCCGGGCCCCCATGCAGCGCCCCAAAAGGGCACTAAGAAGCCCCCGAAAGGTGCCAAAGAGGCCATCAGAAGCAACACGCAACGACCGCCCGTTCCCCAAGCACTTCAACAAGTGCAGTTTCTGCACTGATGGAAAGTTGGTGTATGTATCGAAATTGGGCTCTCACTTGCGACTGCCTCGAAGATCATGGCCAGACACGTAAGCTTGTGCAACAGCTACACCGACACAGGCCCATCCATTTCCAAACAGGTGATCTGGCTGGACACCTCGCTGAATTGTATGATCATAGCTCTTGGTGCTCCTCACTACTGGCTCGAAGGGTGGATCCGTCTCGGAGCGGGGCTCTCGCCTGAGTTGAACGCCCATGAGTGCTGGTATGTCAGAAGCGCTTCCTGCTGTGATAAGGGAAGACTGCCAGGCCCTTATGAGGGGGCTTGGGACGAACTCGGGCGTCGATGTCGCATCTTGGGTCTACTTTGGTCCTCCTCCTCCTCGGGAGAGGAGGGAGAGGAACAAAGGGGGCGGAGAAGAAAAGAAGGAAGAGGAGGAGGAGAAGCCAGGAGGAGGAGGAGTGGAGAGGAGGGGGGAGAAAGGGGGGAGAAAGGGGAGGAGGGGGGAAAAGGAGGGGAGGACGGCAACTGGGGACGAGGAGGAGGGAGAAAGGAGGAGGAGGAAGGAACGAAGCAAAGGGGGGAGAAGGAGGAGAAAGAGGGAGGAGCCAAGAGGAGGAGGCAACGACGTGGCCAACGTCGACGAAAGGCGCACCAGCGGACACGAACCGAGCCAGGCACGAGCACGGGCGCGCGCGGGAGCGCCGGCACCTCCCGCCCGCCGCCCGCGAGGGCGGTCTCAGCCGACCTGGAGATGTCCGGGTCCTGGCGGCACGGCCCGCGCCGGCCGCCGCCGCCGCCGGCTGGCCATCGCCCACTAGGGCCATGACAACCAAAGACCGACCACAACGTTGCGTTATGCAGAATAGCGTTCAAAGCGAACACCCAAACGAAACCCCAACAATAATACGAGAGGTACAATCAATTCGGTGCCAGACGAAACGAAGAAGAGAACGAAACAACAAAGACTACTTGACGCGGACATTCTGATATGTGCGTCTCATATTCCTGACAGGCCTCGCTGAAGGATTCCGTCTGTGAGCATGTGTGCGATGGCGAGTCCGCGTAGACGACGGGGGGGGGAGCGACGGCGCGAACGGGAGAATGATATCCCCCCTTTGCGGTTCCCACTTGGGAGTGCTGAAACCAGCGTCTCGCCTGAAACATCCTCATAATCTGCTCCGAATGCACAGGATGCTTGGGGGCAAAAGCAAGCAAACCGCTTGACACATACCCACAAACTGGTCGCAAATCCTGAAATGCCCCCAGCAATGGCGCCACCCCCCTCCGTCGGAGTGCTGAAACCAGCGCCTCGCCTGAGACATCTCACGGTTTGCTCAGAAAACAAATGCGCGGGGGCACAAACAGGCAAACCGCATAAGAAATCCCCACAATCTGGGCGCGAATCCAAGAGTGTCGCCACCCCTGGCGGCCCCCCCACTGGGGTGCTCAAGTAGCACGCCTGCTTTATCGCGGCGAACAGTGAGACTGAGTGAAGAGGAGTGCGTCGGAATGGTAGAATTCGAATCTGCCTGAATGAACGGCGTCTGGGGTTAATCCCAACAGCCCTCTGGGCGTCGGTGGTTTGAAGAGTTTCCTCTTCCACCCCTTTTTTTCCCCCTCGGGGAGGGGTTTATCACTGTTCCCTACTAATATACACCATTTCCCCCCAGGCGACTGGAAGCCAACCAGGGTCAATACGGACCCCCCCCCCACCATCCCTTGCAACAAACATTGCCAACACACACTCTGCCTCCAAATTCGGGGCATGCGCAGCGAACCCGATGCGGCCTCCCCCGAACATCCCTGTCAAAAACGCTACAAAGTACACTTCGCGGCGGCGGCGGCGGCTGCGGCGGCGGCTGCGGCGGGGGCAGCGGCTGCGGCGGCTGCGGCGGTGGCGGCGGCGGTGGCAGCGGCGGCGGCGGGGGTGGCGGCGGCGGCGGCGGCGTTGGTGGCGGCGGCGGCGGCAGCGGTGGCGGCAGCGGCTGCGGCGGCAGCGGCTGCGGCGGCGGCGATTCGGCGGCGCGGCGGGCGGCGGCGGCGGCGGCGGCGGGCGGCGGCGGCGGCGGCGGAAGGCGGCGGCGGGCGGCGCGGCGGCGGCGGGCGGCGGACAGCGGCGGCGGCGGCTGCGGCGCGTCGGCAGCGGCGGCGGCGGCGGCGGCGGCTACGTATGTGTTGGAAGGGCGGGCAGGAGTGAGCGAGACGGCTTGCGGGCGGGGAGGGAGTCTTGACCCCTCCCCCTACCCCCTCCCCATGGACCTGGAGGGGAGGGGTCGCGAGTCGTCAGGGCGTCCAAAACGGCCTCGGCGAGGAAGCCAAAATCATGGATTTGACCAGGGTTGTGGCCCCATTTTGGCCTCCTGGGGGGGGACCCTAATTGACGCTCCCCTCTTGTTTGATCGGTCTCCTCCAAGATGGCCCCAAGAAGCGCCCAGGAGGTCCTCTGAGAGGCCCCCAAGAGGCCCCCAGGAGGCCCCGTAGAGACCCCCAAAAGACCACCCAGAAGCACACAAGATGCTCCAAGAGGCCCCGGCGAGGATGCCAAAACGGCCCCGGCGAGGAAGCCGATCTCCTCCTGATGGCCCCAAGAAGCGCCCAGGAGGTCCTCTGAGCTCCCAAGCTTGCCCCAAGATGGCCCCAAGAGGCCCCCAAGAGGCCCCCAGGAGGCCCCCAAGAGCAAGAGGCCCCAAGAGACCCCCCAGTGGCACCCAAGATGCTCCAAGAGGCCTCGGCGAGGATGCCAAAACGGCCTCGGCGAGGAAGCCACAATCATTGGTTTTACGGAGGTTGTGGCCCCATTTTGGCCACCAGGGGGGGGGGCGCTAAATAATGCCCCCCTCCTTGTTTGATCGATATCCTCCAGAGATGGCCCCAAGAAGCGCCCAGGAGGCCCCAAGAATTCCGACAATGGCCCCAAGATGGCCCCAAGAGGCCCCCAAAAGGCCCCCAGGAGGCTCCAAGACACCCCCCAGAGGCCCCAAGAGACCCCCCAGATGCACCCAAGATGCTCCAAGAGGCCTCGGCGAGAATGCCAAATTATTGATTGCACGAAGGCTTTACCCACATGTTGGCCTCCTGGGGGGGAGCACTGATTAACATGACTCCAAGAGCGCCTGGGGGAGCCCAAGATGACCTCCGAGATGCCTCAAGATACCCCAAGATGTCTCATACTGGCGTCCTCTGTGTGCGGCCCACTGCCCTGATCCAGGCAATTCCTCTGGGCATCGTTTATCGTTGGGCTGGTGGGGATTCTTTTTGGTCAACAGGCTCGCGAGGCGGGTCAAAAGCCGTCCGAACACTAGTCGGGCCGCGACTAGGCAGCAGGAAAAAAACGAAGCGAACGAGCAGGCAGCCACTCAGAAGGAGAGCCAAAACCGACACTCCCAAACCCGGTGGCGTGGAAATCCTGGTGGCGACCAGCAAGTAAGCGCAGCCAAAATGGCGCGGCGGCGCAACCATGCACGCAGAGGTCGATCGCTCGGTGTGAGCCAGACAAACAGCACCGTCAGAAACGAACTAGACCGACAGGGACACAGGTGGTGAGGATTCGCGCAGCGTCAACAATTTCTTGGGTGGGTCTGAATAAAACTGACACTGACCGCCTGAGACACACCCACAGTCTGAGCACGAACGGTCCCGTGATACACCCCCTGGTGGCCTCATTTTGGGGGTGCTGAAACCAGAGCCTCGCCTGAGGGATCCTCACAATCTGCTCTGAACGTAAGCGATCCTGGTCACCTAAATAAACAAACCGCGCGAGACAATCCCACAATCTGGGCGCCAACGGGGGCATGATATACGTCTGGCGGTTCCTCTTTGGAAATGCTGAAACAAGCGCCTCGCCTGAGATCACAGCCTGCTCTGACCGCAGGCGAATCTGGCCACCAAAACAAGCCAACCTCCTGACACATCCCCACAACCTGCATTTTGCTCCGAAAACAGAGGACACTGCGTGGGGCTCCCAATATGTGCATCTCATATTCCTGTCGCTTCTCGCTGGGTGTGAGAGCGAGTCGGCGTAGACGACGGGCGCGATAACGACGACGGCGACAACGACGTCTTTAGTGACCTCAGTGGGCATCTTCCAGGAGAAGTGAGGCAAGCACAAGTGGAAGAGCGAAGGAGCATTGGACCACCAAAGGGGAGAAGACTGGGTGAAACTGAGCATGAATGATCTGGGAGTGTGTGAGTCTGAATGCGAATGAACCTGGTCATGGTTGAGAGTGTGTCAGTGGGTCTAGGTACGAACGATTTTGAGCACGAGTTGGTCTGAGAATGCGCAAAACTCAGAACAAGCGAGTATGAATGAGAGTGAAGTCTGAGTGTGGATGCGTCTGGGTGTGAGAAAATATCAATATGAGTCGGAGGTTGGGGGGTGAGTCCGACGTGAAACGGAAATCGATTTCGGATTCGGGTTCGTGTCGTGCGTGCCGTGCGTGCGTGCGGGCGAGGCGAAGCTGCGTGGGCGGGCGAGAGGAAATCCTCTTGTGGCTGGGCCGCGGCCGAACCAAATATTGCTCCTCCGGTGGCCGGTGGCGCGCGGTGTCCCGCCGGTGTCCCGCTGGTGTCCCGAAATACTCCTGTGGCTGGGCCGCGGCCGGACCAAATGTTTCTCCTCTGGCGGCCGGTGGCGCGCGGTGTCCCGCCGGTGTCCCGCTGGTGTCCCGAAATCCTCCTGTGGCTGGGCCGCGGCTGGACCAAATGATGCTCCTCCCGTCAAACGGTTCCCCGCGGTTTCCCGCTGGTGTCCCGCCGGTGTCCCGCCGTGGGTTGCGCATTGCAAAACATCGCCGCTTTCGGCGAACTATTCAATGCAAGTCTGCATGCAAACTGACATGCAGACCGCAAAGCACATCGAAATGCAAATCGATTTGCACATCCAGATGCAAAGCGTAAGGCGCCGTGGGCGCCGCGGCGAGCTTTCCAATGCACGTCACGCATCGTCAGAACAACAATCACCACTTTTGCCCATTGCTGCCACCCCCCCCACAGCCTCCTTATCACCCGCAGGGTGGTCGTATAGGTATACCGAATACGAGTATGGGTCCGAATGGGTCTGGAACCGAGTGAGTCTGGCTACGAGTGACTATGAGGGTGGGTGGGCTTAAGTGTGAATGATTATGAGTGTGAGTAAATCCGACTGTAAGTAGTTGCGAACATCACCATCATCCTCATCAGCATCATCAACATCATCAGCATCAGCATAGTCGTCATGGTCGCCGCCGTCGTCGCAATCGTCGTCACGTTCGTCGTCTTCATCTCCTGCACCAACATGGTTATCACCCTGGTCAGCAACATCATCATCAGCATCATTATTAGCCTTAGTAGCATCATGGTCATCATCATCAGCAGCATCATCATCACTAGCAGCAACATCATCATCATCAGCATCATCATCGTCGTCATCATCATCGTCATCATCAGCATCATCAACATCATCTTCGTCGTCGTCAACATCATCGTCATCGTCAGCGCCAACACGATCCTGGCCATCACCATCACCATCACCATCATCATCGTCAGCATCAGCATCATCATAGTCAGTAACATCCTCAGATGCATCACCATCATAGGCAGCATCAACATCATCAGCATCAGCGACCTGAGCACCATCATCGTCATCACCAGCATCATCAACATTAGCATTGGCGTCATCATCATCACCATCATCAACATCATGATCATCACTACGACCATCATGACAGTCGTCACCATCATCCACAACATCACCATGTTCGTATCAGTATGCGGCAACACCATCAACATCGCCATAGTCATGGCTATCATCATCATGGAAACCTTCAACATCATCAACATCAACAACAACATCGGCATCATCACCGTCATCATCATAATACGCATCAACAACATCGTCACCATCTTCATCAAGTTCGCCACACTCACAATCAGTACCGTCATACTCATCATCATCAGCAGCCTCATCATCATCATCCTCATCAGCATCATCGGCATCAGCATCATCATACTCTTCGTACTCATCATCATCAGCAGAATCATCATCAGCAGCAACAGCATCAGCATAAGCATCAACAACATCGACAACCTCGGCATCAACTTGGCCGCACTCACAATCAGCACCGTCATACTTAGCAGCATCATCATCATCCTCGTAATCAGCCTCATGATCATCACCATCAGCATCGACATAAACATCATCATCGTCATATTCATCGTATGCATCATCATCAGCATCATCAGCAGTATCATCTTCATCAGCATCATAATCATCCTAAATCAGCATGAGCATAAGCATCATCATGACGACATCATCATCACCAGCAGCACCGACCTCCTCCTCATCATGAGCATCAACATCATTATTGTCAGCGGCATGGGAATCATCATCAACGCCTGCATCAACAACATCATCATCAATATCCGATTCATCGCCTGCCGTCTCAACCTCTGCATCATCACCACCACAATCACCATCATCATCAGCAGCAACAACATCATCAGCATCATCATCACCAACAGTGTCATCAGTTGCATCACCTTCATGCCCATCATCAACAACAGCACAGCCCACATCTTCATCATCATGATCACAGTTGCCTCAACCATCAACATACTCGTCACCATCATGAGCATCGTCATCATCACGAAATCATCATCATCATCATCATCATCATCATCATCATCATCATCATCCTCATCCTCATCCTCATCCTCATCCTCATCCTCATCCTCATCATCCTCATCATCACCATCAGTAGCAGCAGCACCAACATCGTCATCATCGACTTCGTCGTCGTCGCCGTTTTCGTCACGCCTTTCACATCTCTCACTATCCCTCTCACTCTGTCTCTTTCCGCCTGCCTCCCTCCCTACCTCACTCCCGCCGCCTCCTCCTCCCGTTCTTCGTCCCGCTCCTCCCCCCTCCTCCCCCTCCTCCTCTACCTCCTGCACCCAGAATGACGAAGCAAGCGGTGTCCAGGTCGTTGAACAGCCGTAGGGCGTAGTACCGGCCCTCATCAGCCCAGCACAGGCTCAAACACGAAGAAGGATGGGGGGGGAGAAGGAGGAGGAAAGGTAGACGAAGGAATAAGGGGATACGAAGAAGGTGGAGAGGAGATTCGGTTCGGTCCGAGCGCCTCAGCGATCTCAAATGCCCCTGGAACCCCATAGCAAAACCCTGTTCACGACCATGTGCGCCTCTCTTAAGCGTGTTGGTGTTCAAGCGGTTTGGATAATTGAATGAAGGTTTCGTGAAGATCGTCTCCTGAATATCTCTGAGGCTTGTCCATACGTCGTTCAACAACATGCTGTTAGACCGATTCATCATTGGCAATGCAATAAGATAACTGAACATGTCGAACCACCCAAATTCTCAACCGGTGTGCTCCTTGCCCCTGGCCTCTCTTATCTGCGCTCCAAAGCGCTGCCGCAATCTAAAGAATACGCTCCCTCCTGTGCCAGAGGTGCTCAATGGTCCATGGCTCGTCAGTGGAAGGCTGGATATTCCGTGGAGCCCAGGTGCCCAGCTTGAGCAGAGTTGGTGTCACCGAGCTTGGCACGCACGTGCATCGGCATTGTTTCTGTACGTCGCATGCCTTGAAGTTCGAAGCTAGCCATCCTCTCTGCGGGTTGCTCGGCACAGGCAAGATGGTCTCCCGCAGCTGCTAGCCGAGAGATGCCTTGTGCTTATCCCCATCATCGCGAGGCCTCGTCGTCCAGACGTCCCCTCGGCGCTTTGGATCCCAAGGCTTCCTGACCAGCTCACGGGATATGTCTTCCTTGACGGCTCGGGCCACGAAGCGCTGTACTGGGCGGGCGAAGCGCAGGGAGAGGGAAGAGGGCGAGGAGAGGCAGGGAGGAGGGAGGAAGGAGGAGAACGCGGGGACCGCTATTTCAATACAGGGACCAAACACCACAGGATGGTTGGGAGAAGGAAACATTCAACATCCTGGCGAAGGAACCGACCAAATGCAGCTGTGGGCACCGCAATTGTGAATCTCTACTTCGGTGAAGCTCCCTATGGGGCCACGAAGCGCTGCACTGGGCGGGGGGGGAATGCATGCGGGCGGTAGCACTGGGGCTGTCGGTGGAGCTCACTATGGGGCCACGAAGCGCTGTACTGAATGGGTGACAATGCCAAATTTGGTGTGTGGGACGCATGCTGGCGGTGGCACTGGGGCCGTCGGTGGAGCTCCCTATTGGGCCACGACACGCTGTACTCGGTGTGCAACAAAAAACAAATTGGGCGTGTGGGACGCATGTGGACGGTAGCACTGGGACCTTCGGCGGGGCTCCCTATGGGGCCACGAAACGCTGTGCTGTGTGGATGAAAATGCAAAAGTGGGTGTGTTGGACGCATGCGGGCCGTCTCACTGGGAGCCGTCGGTGGAGCTCCCTATGGGGCCACGACACGCTGTACTGGATAGCGTTGGGTTGTCGGTGCGCATTTGGTGTTTCGGGGCGCGTGCGGGCTGTCCCGATGGGAGCTTCGGTGGAGGTCCCTATGGGGCCCCGAAACGTTGTGGGTGGATCAAAATGCCACATGGGCTGCGTGGGACGCATGCGGGCGGTCCCACTGTGGGCTTCGGTGGAGCTCCCTATGTGGCCACGAAAAGCTGCACTGGGCGGGTGAAAATTCCAAATTGGGCGTGTGGGGCGCATCCGGAGGAAATCCAAGGAGGCCCCAGGAGGCCAAAAGGATGCCCCAAAAGGCCCCAGGCGGCTCCAACAGGCACCCGGTTGTTACAGGAGGCCCACGGCCCACGACACAGGACGGTGCGGGGCGGGAAAACAGGAGGCGGACGTACAGGATTAGAAATTAGAGTCCAGGGCGCGGAGCGGAATGGAAGAGAACGAACATCCAGGAGCCAGGCAAGAAGGATAGCGCGGATGGGCGAGATACAACAAACACATGAAACGCGAGGGAAACAATCGGACGACGGGCAGGACGAGGCGACAGGAAACGGCGCGACTAGAGGGTGACAAGTGGATGTAGCCGATTTGGTTTCTACCCCCACGAGGGGCGCTACAAGGTCGAATCACGCGGCTGAACTGCGTGACCTGGTCGGGCCGCGCGCCTCCAAGGAAGGCAGATCATGCCAGCGCGTCCTCCTGCGATTCACGCGCGCATGTCGAAACGGCTCGAACGCCGCTGCGCGCGCGCCGCCGCGAGAATCCCTCGCAACAAACGGACGAAGTGCACGCGCGCGCGTCGTCGCGACTGTCGAGATATGTCAGAAACCGTAAGCGTCGTAGCGAGATCAAAACCGAATGTCCACAAGACACGTGATTTCGCGACATGCTATTTTTTGTTAGAAGGGGGCGCTCGCGCTCTTGCGAGGTCCTGGGGAAACTGCGGGCTGTCGACGGGTTCATGGAAGTCTGCCAAACGAACCTCTGGCGCCGCGCGCCGCAATCACTCGCGCTCCCTGGCGCTCGTGATGGGGGAGGGCACGACCACGTTAAATGGTGCCACGCGGGCCACGCTCGCGCGTCGGCCGCGTGCGTGCGTCGAACTTATCCCAATGCTCATCGCCGACGTGGGGGTCCTGTCATCGTCGCCGGCGCGATCAGCACCGGTGCCCGCACCGGCCGCGCCGTGATCGCTGTCAACATCGTCACCATTATCGCTACCATCATCGTCGCGTCTACCGTTGTCGGCGTTGCCATGATGCCGCGCCCGCCCAAGTCGCTGACTCGCGCTGGATGCGCCCAGCGGCCAATGCCACCGCGGCCGCGCCGGTCGCGCAGAACTAGCCGGCCGCCGCGCGCACGCGCATGCGAGGGCTGTCGTGGCCGCGGAGATGAACCACCCACCGCCAAGCACTTGCCGCAATCGCCGCCGCGCGGGGTTTGCAAACCAAATTGCGGGCGGGGCGGGCGGGATGGCGGGCGGGATGATTGCGCGAACCGTGGAGCGGGCTACTCGCTGCGAACACAAATAATTTCCCCCTCGTTAAAAAAGAGAATGGGCTCTACACCCCCGTGATTATATATTGCATTTTCGCGATGCACGTCACGTGTGATGTTGCCCCATCGTCCATCATAACTATGAACTACACCATCCAAGCCGAGCCGTTACCGCCTCCCCCCCGCGGCCCACTGAAACAAATTCTCGGCGCCCGCTCGTCTATCAAAAAGTACCGAGCTTCAAGAACACCCTGCAAGAAAAAACGAAGTGCACGCGCAAACGGTGTCGCGCGCGCGTGCTGTAATCCTTCAAAAACCCTCGGTTGCTCAGAGATGTTTCGCAAGAGGGGAGTTCAACGAACAACTTGCGCGCGCTCTTGCGACTTGTTAAGAAGGCCAAACGATTTTCATACCAAACCAACTTCGCGCGCGCATGTCGAAATCGTTCGAACGCCCTTGCGCGCGTGCCGTCGCGAGAATCCTTCTGCCCCGCCCCCCAAAAAAACGACGTGCACATGCGCGCGTCGTCGCCCGCGCATGCCGGAATCCTTCAAAAACCTGCGGTTGCGTAGCGATTGCAAAGCCGCGTGTCCAAAAATATCAAGAGCCCATTGTTTCGCAACATCAGAGTACATGTTTTCGAATAAGAAACGCGCGTTCGCGCTGTTGCGACTTCTTCACAAAACCGGAGTTTTCCAACATTGTCACAGAATCTGCCACATGGGCCTATGGCGCAGCATGCCGAAATCATTCGCACGCCCTTGCGCACGTGCTGGGAGGGGCACGACCCGTGTCAAATAATATCATGCGGGCCACGCTGGCGCGTCGGCCGCGCGCGCATGTCGAGCTCTTTCCAAAACTTTCATCACCGACGCGACGACGCCGTCATCGTCGCCGGCGTGATCAGCATCGTCGCCCGCACCGGCCGCGCCGTGATCGCTGTCAACATCGTCACCATTATCGCTACCATCATCGTCGCGTCTACCGTTGTCGGCGTTGCCGTGATGCCGCGCCCGCCCAAATCGCTGACTCGCACTGAAATGCCCGCCGGGATGTGCCCAGCGGTCAGCGCCACCGCGGGCGCGTCGGTCGCGCCAAACTAGCTGTCCGGTGCGCGCGCGTGCTTGGGTTGGCGCAGTCGCAAAGGATGGACCTCACAACGCCCAGCACTCATCCCAATCGCCGCCGCATGGGTTTTGCAAACTACATTGCGGGTGGGTGGGTGGGATGTTTGCAAGAGCATGGGATGTGTCAAGTCGTTTGTAAAAGTTATTTGCTCGCTTGCTCCGCATAGTTCGCACAACATACGTTGCGCGATATAGGTTGCACTTCGTGCATCGCACAACGTAGATCACAAACATATATTGCACAGCATCTATTGAACAACATAGATCGCATCGCGTATATAGCAAACGTATATCACAGTGCATTTTTGCATATTGCACCACGTAGGTTGCACAACATGTTTTCCTTTAAATAAATTCTCCTTTCTTAAAAGAAAATAAACTCTACCGCCCCACCCGGACTTATCGCTCCCCCCTGGGATAATCTGATTTCGTATATTTTCTGCACACTCGTCCATCCTAAATATGAAATCGTACCATCCCAGGCAGGCCGGGTTCCCAACCCTGAGGTTCCCTCGTAAAAAAACACTATGCGGTGACATTTTTGTTCTGACATAACACTTTTTCGCGAATCCCTTGCAACAGGTGGGACGAAGTGCACACGCGCGCGTCGTCGCGCGCGCATGCCGGAATCCTTCAAAAACCTTCGGTGCCGGAAGGATTTCGCAATCGAGTTTCCAAAAAACATACAAAAACACATGGTTTCGCAACACGGATTTGCTAAAAAAGCTTCCGCGCGTGCTCTTGCGAAATCTTCAGAAAACCATCGGTTTGCTGAGACTTTCACAAAATGCTACCAAACGGGCTTCGCGCGCGCGCATGTCGAAATCTGTCACACGCCCTTGCGCGAGTGCCGTCGCGAGAATCCTCTGCAAAAACTAGGACGAAGTGCAGACGCGCGCGTCGTCGCGGGCGTATGCCGAGAACCTTGAAAACCCATCGGTTTCGGAAGGACTTCAAAATCGTGCGCCCAAAAAACATACAAAAACCCAGGGTTTCGCAACACGGGTTTTCAACAAAAGCGTGCGCGCGCGCTCTTGCGTCGTCGTCGTCGTCGTCGCCTACGTCGTCCTCTTCGTCGTCGTCGTCCTCTTTGGCGTCGTGGTCGTTTCCGTCGTCGTTGTCGCCGTGGTCGTCCTTCCTCCTCCTCCCTCGTTGTCGTCGTCGTCCGTCGTCGGCGTCTCGTCGTCGTCCCTCCTATTTCGTCGCCGTCGTCGTCGTCGTCGTCGTTGTCGTCGTCGTCGTCTTCCCTCCTCCCTCGTCGTTGCCGTCGTCGGCGTCGCCGTCCTTCCTCCTTCTTCGTCGTTCGCGTCGTCGCCGTCCTCCCTCCTCCCTCGTCGTTGTCGTCATTGTCGCCGTCGTCGTCCTCCCTCCTTCCTCGTTGTCTTCGTTGGCGACGTCGTCGCCGTCTTCGTCGTCGTCGTCGTCGGCGGCGTCGTTGTCGTCAACGTCGTCGTCGACGTCGGCGTCGTCGTCGTCGACGCCGTCGTCGTCGTCGTCGTCGGCGTCGTTGACGTCGTCGTCGTCGGTGTCGTCGTTATTGTCGTCGTCGGCGTCGTCATCGTCGTCGTCGTTGTCATCGTCGTCGTCGACGGCGTCGGTGTCGTCGTCGTCGTCGGTGTCGGTGTCGTCGTCGTCGTCGTTGTCGGCGTCGTCGAAGTCGTTGGAGACGTCGTCGGTGTCGTCGTAGTCGTTGTCGGCGGCGTCATCATCGTCATTGTCACTGTCGTCGTCGGCGTCGCTGTTGTTGCCAAGTGCCATGTGGTACCCACCGTCACGGTCTTAAGAGATTTTGCAAACCACGTTTCGGGTGGGTTGGTGGCATGTTTGCGCGAGCAGTGGAGTGGACAACTCACTGCGAACAGAAATTAATTCCACAGCATAGATTGTAACACGCAGCCTGCGCCGCAGAAACTACACACCACGTGGGTAGCAACCTAAATTGCTCCGCATAATGTGCGCAAAATAAATTACTAGAAACACATTACATTGTTTGGGGTCCACTGTGGCAGAAATGTTCTGCACATTTCGAAGGAGGCGCTGAGGCCAACTCCGTGAGACAGGCGTGATACCATGGGGGTACAATTTGAACCACGCAGCCAAAAGTGTGCACCAGATGGTGAGGATTGAAAGCGAACGCTTAGCACGTCGCCCTCATCGTCACCCTCGTCGTTATGAATCGCCGTGGTCGCCCTCGTCGTCATCTTCGTCGTCGTCGTCGCTCTCGTCGTCGTCGCCCTTGTCGTCTTCGTCGCCACCGCCAACATCGCCGCCCTCGTCGTCGCCCTCGTCGCCATCCTCGTCGTCGTCGTCGCTCCCGTCGTCGGCGCCCCCGTGGTCGTTCCCCTCCCCCTCCCCCTCCCCTTCCTCCTTGTCGCCTTCCTCGTCACCCTCCTCATCGCCTTCCTCGTCGCCCTCGACGTCGCCCTCATCTCGTCGTCCTCCTCCCCTTCGTCGCCGCAGTCGCCGTGTTCTCTGCTCCTACCCACCCCCCCCGCAGCGGCGGTCGCCTCCGGAGCGGACGCGGGGAACAGCGTGGTCGACCACCTCAGCACCTGCGAGGGAGGGAGTGGCCGGACGTTGGCGGGATTGGGTTTGATGGGACCTGGTTTGGTGATGTGTGGGGGACGCTCCCCCCCGGCCTGGAACTGCCGTCACCCGAAGAACCACAAGACGGCAAACTTGGTTTAGTAGTTCTGGAAAATGTTCCGGGCTTCAGGTCTCAATCACGAGCTGGCTCCACTTACCCGGGGTCCTGGCTATATCCTAAGGGGGGGCGATCGAGAATCGAGGATCGGCGACTCAGGGCCCGCTTTTGGCGGGCCTCCGGGGGCGCCTTCGTCGCCACGGCCGGATTCCACTCGAGACTCTGTCCCTGAACGTAGGCGGCGAGCCCAGGGGGGAAGTGAGAGGGCGCGGGACTTCTCAGAAGGCTCGAAGGCCTCGGACCTTCCGAGACGTCTCTTGAGACTTTCCTGGCGACAGCAGACTTTTCAGCAGAAGGCCAGAGGCCGGAGGGCTCCTGAGAAGCCCCGCCGCCTTCTGAGAAGGCGTCCTCCTCCTCACTTCGCACCCTCGCTCGCCGCCTAGGACGCACCCCTGGGTGGGCCTGGGGGTCGACCGGGTCGACCTCTGACTCCCGAAGCAGGGCAGGACCTCTGGCGACTCGAGAGGATCGCGCTGGAGGCTGTTCGCCAGTGTAGGCATCTGGCGGCCACTTTCAGGCACCAGGGCCGTCAGAAAAAAGATGGGTGGGCTTCAGACAGGCCTGAGCAGGAGCAAATCGCGGAATCGAATCGGATGGGGAACGGATCGGATCGCCAGCGAATCGTCCAACAATGGATCGAGATCGCATCGCCGCGCCCGGCTCTGGCTGGTGGCCCCTTTCGACGCCGGTTACTCGAAGAGAACGGGATTGGATCGGAACCGCGGCCCCAGCCAGAGAATCGGACCGCATGGAGTCGGAGCACGGGCGGCCCCGTCGGACCTCCCTGGGGGGGGGGGCACGCCGCGAGCAAGATCGCCGCGACGCAGGCCCGAGACGTCCTCCGCCTCTGCTGGCCCAGGACCAGGGTGGGCGTGCGTCCCGCGCTCCCCGACAGGAGTCCCTGACATCCTCTCGGTGGAGACAGCACGACGGGGGGTCCTGCTGCTGGGTTGCTCTGCTCCCTCCCTTTGACCTCTGGAAGCCCTCAGCGAACCCAGGGACCATCAAAAAACTGCTCAGGATGAGACGCCGGTCCTTAGGAAGAGGTCCAGATCTGTGGGGAGCCAAGTTGTGGAAAACCACAACGGAGGATGTCTGGGGGGCAGGAGGATGGAAGGGTAGGGTGCGGCCAGCAGGAGGCCCCCAGTGAAGAAGATCGCGGCACAAGAGCAGCGGTCTACTCAGGAGACAACACCGCCTGCGGCCACAACCAGCATCCACCTCCGCCGCCTCCTCCGCCCTTCCTGTCCCACGCTAACCAAACCACCAATGCAAACTAAGAAACAAACAAAGAAACAAACAGACAAACAAACAAACAAACAAACACTGTCCGAGGTCCTCGCGGATTTCTGGGCTCGGGGACGGCTCCCCCCCCGGCACCCCGAGCCATCCCCTGGCGCGCTCGCGCCAGGGCAGGGGTGTGTGGAGGGGGGGGGGAGTCTCGCGCCGACCACGCCTCCGCGCGAACCTCCGAACGCTCTTGTGTGTGCAGTTCCTGTGAAATTCGATATTCGATACCCTGCCTTCGCACCCTCGCTGGCTGCGCTCCCCCCACCCGCCCTCGTCTGCTTCACGCCAGGGGGGCGGGGGGGCGAACCCAGGCGCGCAAGCCGCCGCTATCGCGTCGCACTCAGCGGTACAGAACCCCAGTGGGCTGCGGGGAGGGGGCCTCGCGGCGCACGACCGCCTTCGGGGTGGTCACCAGGCGGTCGAGCAGGGGGACGAACTGGCGGTACTCCTCCTCGGGGTCGAAAGGTGGGAGGGGGAGGGCGGGGGGGGGGAGCGCGGAAGGCGAGGGGGAGGGAGGGGAGGGGAGGGGAGAGGGGACGACGACGACGACGACGACGAGGACGACGACGAGGGGGACGCGCGCGCTCGCGGAGTCGAGCGCGACAGGGCCTGCCTCACGCGGCCCCTCGCGAGCGGCGTCGCGGCCGCAGGGTGGCCGTTGGGCAGACCCTCTTCCTGGCTGGGCGGACCCGGGAGCGAGCTCCCAGGCGACACTCCTGGCAGCAACGCCAGAAACGCGATAACTGCCGGGAGCGAGCGGGCACGCCAGGAATGATGCTACCGGCAAGCTTCCTGGTAACAGCGCTGGACACGCGGTGCGCGCTGGACGAGAGGGCACGATTTGAGCCGGCTGCCTGGCAGTAAGGCCTGGAGTTGGCTTCCTGGCAGCTGCGCTGGCAGCGAACAGTGCGCCGCACACGTGCGTTCACGCTCGGGAAGCTCACAAGAGCTGTCGAGAGGGACACGGTACGGACACAGCCCCAAGGCACCTGCACTGTAGGAGGTAGTGACAAGAAGACATTAAGAACCCTCCAGGCAAGCCTAATCGGAGAACAACACCGGCATCGCGAAATGCGCCGCAAGCGAGTGGGCACGCCCGGAGCGAACCTCCTGGCAGACCTCCTGGCAACAACGCCGGCAACACGATGTGCGCCGCAAACGAGCGGGTACGCTGGGAATGAGCTTCCTTCCTGGCAACAGCGCCAGCAACGCGACGGCTGCCAGAAGCGACAGGAGGGCCCGCTTGGAGCCTCCTGGTAACCTTGCCCAAAGCAACGCTGGCGTCAAAGGTGCGCTGGACGCGAACGGGCACACTTGGAGTGGGCTTCCTGGCAGCCACGCTCGTGACGCGATGGCTGCCAAGAAAGAGCGGGCACGCCTGGCGTAAGTTTCCTGGCCGCTACGCGGTCAGCGGCAGAGAGTTCGCCGCAAGCGAACGCTCTCGAGGACCACGGGAGGCTCACGGGCGGGAGGTCACCACTCCAGGGCACCTGTCTTTGAGAGGAACGAGCGCAACTGGCAAGAATCCTCTGGGCAAGCCTGGTCAGAGAACAGAGGCTGCCCGGAAGCAACAAAGAGCAACAAAGAGCACAAGCCTCGCGGGCCTGTGTTCGCCATGTGCCTGGCCCGCGAGCGAGCACGCTTGGAGTGAGCTTCCAGGCAGTTGCGCTTGTCACGCGATGTGCATCTCGAGCGAGCGGGCACGCTCGGAGTGAGCTTCTGGGCAGCAACGCTCCAGCCTCGAGAAGGCGCGCTTGGAGTGAGCTTCCTGGCAGCTACGCTAGCCCCGCGACGTAGGCCGCGAGCGAGCGGGCACGCATGGAAAGCCAACAGGAGTCTCATGGGAGGGGCACGGGAGTGACACTGCGAGCTAGCAAGCCTGGGAGCTGGCAAGCAAGCCTGGGAGCTGGCAGCAAGCATCTGGGCAGGCCTAGCGAGCAAAAAACACCCCAACCACGCCGGTGCCGTCGCATGTCGGGGACCATGGCCAAGACTGCTTGCGGAAACATCATTTCACTCTTGGTCACTGTCGATCTCGGTCAGTCGTAAATCATCCTTGCCAACAGGCGACGTCCGGCTTGGACCATGACCAAAATCGGCATCGTCAAGATCACGCGACGTCTTGGTCATGGCTCCCGTGCTTCTTTCATTGGCTTTCCTCGATCCCACGGGACCCGCTCTCACTTCCGCCAGCCGCCGCCACGCTCCCGCCAGCGACACCACCGTTCTGCTCTGCCTCCGCTGGCCTCTGCCGGCGCCAGCCAGGGGGGGGGGGCGGTCAGCCCGTCGCCGCCCTCGGCGACGAGGCCTTCGTGTCCCAGAAGGGCTCGCACGGGATCGAGCCCATCCTGGCTGCGGCCTTCGCGGACCCAGGCGCGAGTCGTCGAGGCGCCTCTGTATCGGCGCACTTTCGGGTGGACGCACACGGCGAGACGCACTGCAACATTCTGGAGGAGGCCTCACTCTAGTCCACCTCGCTTTCCCTGGTGGTCATTCTCCTCTTCCTCCTCCTGGTCACCGCCCTCTTCATCCACCTCTTCCTCCATGGGCGCAGGGCAGAGCCAACCTGTGTACACCTAGAGCACTTCGAGCGGCATAGATTTGCAAAAGGGAAGCATCTGGCTCACCGCAGGCTGGGGCGCCAGGAAGCTTTGCACACATCTCATTGAGGCCAGAACAACAAGTGCGGCCGCAATAACCACTACTACCAATGCCAACAACCAGCCTCTTCGTCTTGCTCAACATCGTCATCCTCTGTACCCTCATTCCCCCTCACCTCCTTCTCCCTGTTTGTGGCCCGATCGCGTGCTGTCGACCATGACTATCTCCGATACCACAACACCATGGGAACAGAACCGACAGGCACATATTAGCAAAGCTGGTCCTCATCACCTCCCCCTTTTTCTTCTCCTCCACTTGCAGGCGACGATGGGGTCTAATAGCTCTGGGTGGAGCAATACATGCATCCAGGAACACCGATTGTCCATGTCTTTATCGGGAGGGATACGTGTAATGCTAGCCCCTGGGCGTTTCGCCCCCATGGTCGCCTCCGATCCTCCTCCTCCTCCTCCTCCGCAGCAGCAGCAGCAACAGCAGCTGCAGTACAAAGCAGCAGGGTCCTCGATGGCGCCGACCATGCAGGAGACCAGTCCACTGAGCGCCTCTCCCCAGCCCGCCCTCCCGCGCATCCTCCAGCTGGCGCGCCCAACAGCCCGCTTCTGCGGAGCTGGTGGAAGCCTGGTGGCCTGCGCTTGCGCTGACTGGCCGTGATTCCACCGAATGCCTGACTCCACTGAGGGGACAAATTGATGAGGGGGGACCGACCGGCTCAGCAGGGGGGGAGATCTCGACCTGGAATCTGCGATACATCGCCGACAAAACGGCGATACGACCCCCACAGCGAAACCGCAAGGTCCTGGGCGCGGTGGGCTATCGGGCCCCTATCGGAGATCTGTGGGCGACTTGGGCCGATGCATCCCCACCTCAGTCTATCCTCCCCTAGCGTTGCCTCTGACCCGCGCCCACCCGTGCGAAGCCACGCTGGGCATCCCGCTACACATGAGGAAAGGACAAACGACAACTGCGGCGGCGGAGAACGACGGCGACGGCGACGGCGACGGCGACGGCGACGGCGGAGACCACAGCCACGACGACGACGACGCGAGAACCAGGAGTGGACGAGGAGCCGAGCCGAGCCGATACCGGACGACCACGGACCGCCGAAGAGGCCCCAGCCTCCGGGGGAGGCGCCCGCCCTGCGGCGCCTCCAGGATGTCTTGCGCCGCGGAGTCGTTCATGGCCAGCAGCGCGAGCATCCGTGGGGCGCCTCGCCTGCGCCCCGATGCCGCCCGCCTCCGAAGGCAGCCTCGACGACGACCTCCTCCGACTGGTTCCGAGCATGTTCGAACCTCCGCCCACTTTGGAGTACCTCGACACTCTGGCACCCGATGACCTCTGACCTCCCACTACTTCCGACGGCTTTCGAAAAAAAAGGATGACGACGATGGCGACGACCAGCATGATGAACATCCACTAAAAATCCGCCGACGCATTTGGGGATCACTGGGCATGCGGGACTGTTCCCCCCTAGAACCACCCCCTCAGGGGACGCTAACAGAGCAGGGAATTCGCCCCTAACCCCACACCCACCGTTCGACGACCCCCGTCCCATCTCCCCGGGCTCCCTGTGGAGCCCCAAGACAGCCCCGGAGACCTCCCAAGAGGCCCCCGAGACTGTCCAAGTGGGCCCCGAATCGCCAAAATATCTGTCCAAGACGACAAGATGGTCTCCAGACGGACACAGCTGCTTCCAAGAAGCTCCCAGAGGTCTCCAAGAGGCGCCCATAGAGGACCGCAAGAATCAGAAATCGTGCAATTCCCGAGGGAAACGACTATTATTACATCTTTGGCAATTCGGTGCGGCAGCTTCGAACGTTGGGGAGTGAGAGGTCAGAGTGAGAGGGAGGGGCACGCTCAAGCCTTTTTGGCTGGGCAGCGCGTCGGGCCCCCTCTCTCTTCGAAGAGAGGAGAGCCCCCTGCGGCCCTACGGGGTGCCACGGCCATGGTGCTCGCCGCCTGGCTCGCGGTCCCAGCAATGGCCGCCGCGCTGCGCTTGGGCGCGGGCGCTGCTGCCGCCCCCTGGCTGCCCACGCCGCTGGGCCCCCGCCCCGCGGCCAGCGCCACCCCGGCGCCTGACCCCCAACCGTCGCCCGCCGCCGCCGCGCGGGCCGCCGCTTGACCCTGGGCGCATCGAGCGCCCGCGGCGCCCGCTCTGGACGCCGCGCCCCTCTCGGCATGGGAAACTGCCACCACCGAAGGGACTACACACGTATGATGACGCTGATCATCCAGCCGCAGCGGGCTTCACGAGGCTCGATTACGCGGTCTTTCTGGTGGCTGCGCTGGAAAACATTGAGTGGCCGACAACTGCTGAACTCGCTCGGGGAGTCGATCAGGCGTCGGAGTCCCGCAAGGAAGCATCACCGCCACCAAGGGCGGCGCCACCGCCCCCCGTGGCGGCTCTGCCGCCAGGTGCCACTTACGAGTACAACGCGGGCTACAGGTACTACGACGAGAACGACCCTGCGCCCCCCGCGCCACGGATCGAGGTCCGTCGCAACGGCAGCCTGGGCGACCTCACCAATGAGGACGGAGAGGACGACGCCGAGGAGGACGATTGAAAAGGTGAGGACCTTCGAGAAGATGGGGAGCTTCGAGAAGATGGGGGCCTGGTGCAGTTCCCCTCCGCTCCGGCGCGCGCTGCCGCCAGGTGGTGGCCCGCCTGGGGAGCCGCCGCCCCGCCGCTTGCGCCTGCCGCCGCCGCCGCGTTGGCCTGGTGGGCGCCCGCCTCGCTGTGGGCCCGCTGAAGCCGCACTGCAGTGGCCGCCAACCCGACGGCAGGTCTCCGCGGGACCCCCCCTTCGCCAGGCCTGGACCATCGCGTTCGGGGGTACGCTCGGATCGTCTGGTCCGTGATTCTGGCCACCAGTGTCTCGCGATCGGGGGTCAGGCGTGTCGGGATTTGCGATTGCGATCGACGCGCTGCTTTTCGGCCCGGTCCGGGCCTGCGCTTGACGGCGCTGCAGCCGCTGCCGCCCGGGCCCCTTGGGCCCGCCGCCGCCCCCGCCGCCGGAGCTGTTTGGCCCTGGGACCCCACGGCCCGTGGACAGCGCGAGGGGCAGCGAGATCCAGGCCCGCGGCGACAACGGCCACCCGCGGCACCTCGTTTTCGCTGTGGAAGGCCACGCTGCCAGGTTCATCAGAGGATCGCGAGCACGGCTGCCGGCACGGGCATCGGGCCCCATCTACCACCACGCGACGATCTGGGGCCTTCATGCACCAACGGATGATTACCATCCCCGTGGGACAGCGGATGCGCGGCCAGCACCTGTTTGACAAGCCAGATCTCATCCCGAGCGACAAGAGAGCAAGAACGCGGAGTTGTGCGAGAAGACGACGGGCAAGGCAACCGTGGATTTTGCACGCCGGCGAGAAACAAAGTCGACCGACAAGCGGCTGACGAGCGCGAAACTTCGAAGACGTCTCACGCAAAGCGAACGCATCGCGCATTCTCCTTCTCTCGCTCCTCACTCTCCTCCTCCCTTCTCTTTTTCCTCTTCAACATTTCCTCTCGCCCTTCGTTTTCCCCGCCCCCGCCCCGCCCCGGGCCCCGCCCGCCCGCCCCCCCGACCCCGCGGCCCAGAACCGAACCGCAACACGGCGCAAAGCGCCGCAGGCGCAGCACGGCGGGCGCAGGACGAGCGCGCGCACTGGTAGGGTGGTTATCGTTCATGGCAGAGCGTGTACCCGTAGGGTAGCAATGGCACTTGGGCCCTGGCGACGCACGGGGGCACTTTCGTGGCAGTGCAGCTCGCGCCTTCGATCCTGGAGCTGCACCCGCAAATGTGACAATCGGTCACCGCTCCCAGCGATGCGTCCCAGACATTACGAACTTGGATGCAGCCCTTCGGAACGGCCGCCCGCAAGCCTGCCCGGCCACAAGAAGACGGCAGGGCGCCGTAACAAAAGAAGCGCACCTTGTGTCGGCGCGCAACGGAGGGGAAGGGTCATGGGGCTAGGAAAAGGGCGGGGTGTTCGCAAAGAGGGGGTGGGGCATGATGGAGAAGGATCGGGGCGCCTGGACTGATACGAGGCGCGAGCGGCGTGGAATGACTGAGGCGTGAACGAGCGAGACGACAGCGAAACAGCGCAGAGAGGGCGGGCGATGAAAGAGGGTGGGCGCACGTAAGAGGCGCCACATGGCGACGGCGAAGGGGGCCCGGAGGATTTATTTGCAGAGGAAGTGCAAGCGCACGCGGAGGTGGCAGGATGACGCAGGGGAGAAACGAGCCATAAACATACGAGTTTTCACGCGGAAGTGCGCATGGGACCGCGCCACCCCTCTCGCGCCTTCGCGTCGAATGCGCGTCGCATGCTCGGGCGCGCGCGCCCCGCGTGGTGCGCCTCAAAATTATTGCGCGCGCGTGCGTGCGCGCGTGCGCGCGCGGGTGGGGGGGTGGGGCGGGGTGGGGTGGGGTGGGGGGGGGGGGCGCGCGCGCCGCTGGAATGGCATCAGACTCGCGGAACTTCGGCGGGTAACGTTTGGAAGCCGCCTGATTGATCCAAGCGGCACCCCTCCAGTCCGCGCGCGCGGCGGCGGCGCCCTTTCCCGCGCGAGCGCGCTTCGCTGACCTGGCGCCCGCTCCGCAGGGTGGCGAGCGCGCGCCAGCCCCCCGCAACGCGCGAACGGCAGCAGACTTAGAACAACCGAGATGCACGTGCAAAGCGCGCCTCGCGCGTCGCGCGCGAACAGGGTGAGTCGAGGCTCGTCCAATCCCAAAAAAAATATACGCAATCAGGCCCAGGGCGATGACGATGCCCCGCGCGCTCCGCGGCGCGCGCTGCCGCGACGCCGCGCGCGGCGCGATGGAAGTGCCCAGCGCGCGCGGGAGAGCGAGGGGCTCACGCAGCGGACGGGGGGGAAGGAGAAGGGCCGTCGAGGTAGAGTTCGCGCGCCCCCCCCCCCCCCCTTCGCGGCAGCGCCTCTGGGCCATGGCCGAGCGATCTGCGCGCGCGGCGCCCCGCTGTCCTGGGCGGGCGCGAGGGGGGCGGCGGCGTCTTCGGCAGTCTGCCAGGCGTCGACGAAGCCCGCCGCCTTCGCCGATTTGCGCAAACTTTGGAACGAGCCCGCCGCGGGCGAGCTATTCCCCATCAAAGCGACGCATGCGGGTCGCGGGCGGGCCGCGGCGCGGTTCGCGGCGACGGTCGCGGGAGAGCCGCGGCCGCGGACGAAAGCGACGATGATGTTGACGACGCAAGAACGAAGCAACAGAGCAATAACAATCCGCGCTGCAGAATCAGATTTCGGCCACTCGCCCAGGGGCAATGAATGGCCCCATCGGCCCCCCTCGCTCTCATTTGCGCGCGCCCAAAACTGACGAGAGACAGAGCGGGGGGGTGGGGGAGAGCTGCATCATATACGGACAAATAAAATGAACACAATGGATGGCGCGGAGCGCCGACGCTCCACATCATCTCCCAGCCGCCGCCCCGGCCACCCCATCAAATCTCTGACGGTCGCCGCCCCGCTCGAAAACACTCGGCGAGGCCCCGCGCGCGGAATGGAAGGCGGAGAGGTCCGAGCGACCAGAGGAGGAGGAGTGGAAGGTTATGATGCGATGGGTGGTTGCAATGTCGCTTCCGATAGAATGAGACGCGAAATAAGCAGCAGCGCGCCGCGGGATCGGTCGCCGGCTCTCTCGCGCGGCCGACAAGGTTGAACGGCGGTCGGACGCCACTCGGGCGCGCCCGGGTCGCGCACAAATTGGGCCCAAATCGCGCCCGCATAGCGCCGGCGAGCTCTGGGCGCGACCTTGGCGCGCCGAAGTCACATCCAACGCCGCGGCGCAAACTGAACTGCGCGCGCGGGCACCGCCTGCTGCGGCGACCGCAGAGAGCTGGGCACAGTGCGCCCGACTCATCAAGTAATCGGTTTTCGGGCAGGGGTGGCTGGAACGCTGCAAGACAGGTCGCGCCCGCCTCCCCCAACCTCCTGCCGCCTCGCCCGCCGCCCCCCGGCAACCACCGACGTTGCCCGGGCCGGCTGGGGCTCGCAGCCCAAGGGCGCCACCTGGAAACGCGCATGGGCGAGTGAGGGGATTGTGCAGCCATGCCGCTCGAGCTCGAAGGCGCTCGGATGGTCTCGATCGCGGCGCGGGCCGCCCCTTGCCGAACGTCAGCCGCAATGGGTTGTGCGGTTGCGCTTGGTCGGTGATGCACGTGCGGGCCCCCGTTCTAGAATCTGCCCTCGTTGCATGAAGGGCGACGCTGCCTTCGGCTTATGCGCAGTTGGCATAGTCCTGGTCCGCGCTTGGACATTCATGTCGCGGAGAGCTATATTCTGGCTCGCCTTCGACCTTCACGCTTGCGCGCGACAGCCTTGTCCATCGCCTCCTAGGTCTCATCAGACAGCCAGAACTATTTGCACCTGAACCGGTCGGCCATCCCCGCGTCGTCCGCCCCCGAGATACCGAGCCCAGCGTTATTCGATTCATCTTAATCCTCGCTCAGATCTTGCCAATCCAGGCCGCCCCCCCCCCCCCCCCGAGATACACAACAACTGCTGTGGAATCAAGGCCCCGCCGCGGCCGCGGATCCAATTCCGGGGCCACCTCCGCGACGTTGCCATCGAAGTCGGGGGATTTTCTTTTCATATCAAGGATCGTGTCAGGCTCGAGCCAACTTGCACTATGGTCCTCGCGCGTGATTCCAGCCCGGGAAACACCCGGCCCGAAAGACAGCTTCCGGAGAAGCGCCAGCCTCGGCAGGCCGCCCCCCTTGATGCACCACCCACTACGCTGCCAGTCTTCATCGCATTACCCATCGACCTCCGCGTCGCACCCCGTGTCCACCTCGTCAAACTCTGCAGTGCTGCCCAGGCAGGCCCGAAAGGCTAGCTGGCCCCTGCGCGCCCTGCTCGATCTCGAAGTCGCACGGCGGGGACATGGTGCAGAGCGCAAGGCCGCCCCAGGCGGGGCCTGTAGATCCGCCCTGGACAAATATTCCGGCAGTCGCCATCATGACCAAGCGATCGTTCGCACAGTCCACCGCCAAATTGTCATGCACCTGGCACGATCGGGATGTCTGCGAACTGCAGCCCGAAGTAGGAATGGCGACACGTGGCCATGCAGCGCGCATACGAGGGCCACCTGCTGAGCTACGAGAGCCACCAGCAGAGCTACGAGGGCCATAGGCTGGACTACGAAAACCACGCGCTGACTTATGAGGGCCACAAGCAGTGTCACGAGGCCCACCAGCTGAACCACGAGGACCACAAACACTGTCACAAGGACCACATGCACGACCATGAGGACCTCCAGCTGAGCCACGAGAGGCGTTAGGAGAGGTGCCAGGACCACCTGCTATGCTGCGAGAGCCACCAGCCAAGCTACGAATGCAACCAGCCGGACTACGATCGCCACAGGCTGAGCGGCGAGGACCACCAGAAGAGCTACGAGGACCACACCCTGACCTACGGGAGCCACTTGCTGAGTGACCTGGGCCATCCGCTGAGCTACAAGAGCTTCCAACATATCTACGAGGGCAACCAGCTGAACTACGAGAGGCTCCAACTGAGCTTCGAGTGGCATGAGGAGACAGTGCCAAGGCCACCTGCTAAGCTGCAAGAGCCGCCAGCAGAGCAACAAGGGCTATCAGCTCAGCTACGAGGATCACAGGCTGAACTAAGAGGACCACAAGCAAGGCTACGAGGACCACGACCTAAGCTACGGGGGCCACTGGCAGAGCCACGAGGGCCATCTGCTGAGCTACCAGAGCTTCCAGCAAGCCTACGAAGGCCACCAGCTGAGCTACGAGGGCCACAACCACGGCTACGATGGCCACATGCACGACCATGAGGACCTCCAGCTGAGCCACCAGAGGCACCAGGAGAGGTGCCAAGGCCACCTGCAGAGCTACACGAGCCGCCAGCAAAACTTCAATGGCAACTCGTACGAGGGCCTACGAGGACCGCACGCAGGCCTACGAGGACCACATCCTGAGCTACGGAAGCCACTGGCGGCTACCCAGCCCACCTGCTCATGTACCAGAACCTCTGACAGACTTACGAGGGCCACCAGCTCAAGCATGAGGGCCACAGGCACAGCTTCGAGGACCGCAGGCAGAGCGACGAGGACCTCAAGCTGAGCTAAGACGACCACCAGGAGGTCCAGGGCTTCAGCCTGACAGCGCGGGGCTGCAACAAGATGCCAGCGGAGCCGGACGCTCGCCCCTGGCGTCGCCGTGCGCCTCGATAGCATCGAAACTCGCCCGCTACTCAACAGGCGGGAGGGTGCACTCGGGCCCCATGGTGAGGCAGCAGACCGCTGGGTTTTCGAGGCAGGCACGGAGTACATCTGGGTCAGGACGATCTGCCTGGAGCCCGCACGTCTGATGACCAATCAAGCGCTCGGGCTTGCTTTCCCGCAGGCGGCCCACACGTACAACCGCCAGGACCCGATGCGCATCGACATGGCGTTCCAGAACATCTCCGACTTGGCAGGCCGACGAAGGGCAGCCGGGTGTAGCCGCCTACTTCGAGCTCATCCTCGGCGTCGGGGCGGCCTTGGACATGGCCTACAACCAAACAGCGCGATAAAAACACAAGTCCAGACCGGTCTGCCTGAAGCCGGAGAACATCATAAACCACAGCGTTACGGACAAACGTCTACAAATACGTCGGCGCTGTAAGCATCATCGAACAGCCCCTCCGCACATCCTCATCCCTCTCTTCCCTCGACTGGCCTCAAGATAGAGGACGGGCAGGTGGCCTCTCCCCTCCCCCCCACTTCGGAAACAAGGTCCCCCGGTGGAGCCCCGCGCTACCCGCCCGCGGCGCGCCTGGCGCGCGAGGCGGTGCGGCGGCGTGGACAGGGAATGCCCGACAGAGCTGCGAGAGAAAGGAGTAGAGAGTAGAACGACGACGACAACGACGACGACGACGAATATGCCGAATACGACGAATACGCCGACACCCAAAACGGCTAAAGACTGCCCAAGACGGCCCAAACGCCTCCAAGACAGGCCAAGAGGCACCCAAGACGGCTCCAAGACGGTACCCAGACGGGGGACCCGAACGGACATCTCGATCCGTTGCCCCCGAAAGCTCTCAGGAAGCCCCAAGAGGCCTCGAAGACCACCCGAAGAAGCCCCTAGGAAGCCCCAGGAGGCCCCCAAGAGGCTTTCAAGAGGCCCCCAAAGAGTCTCCCAAAAAACGCCCCAAAACTGCCCACCAGAGGCCCCCGAAAGCGCTCCGAAGTGACCCCGACAAGCATCTTCTCCTCCCCCTGCTCATCACCCTCCTCCTCCTGTTCCTCCGCCTCGTCTTCATCGTCCTCCACCTGCGTATTGCCCTTCTCGACCTCCTTCTGCCACAACTCCCCTTCCTCATCAGATTCCGCATGCTCGTCCTCATCCTCCCCCTCCTGCTCCAAGGCGTCCTCCTTTTCCTGCTCCCCCTGTTCCTCATCCTCCTCCTCCACCTCCTCGGCCTCGTCCTCGTCCTCGTCTTCGTCCTCGTTCTCCTTCTCTCCCTCCTCCTCCTCACCCCGTCCCTCCTCCTCATCCCCCTCCTTCGCATCCTCCTCCTTCTCATCCTCTTCCTCCAAATAATCATCCTCATCATGTTCACCCCCCTCCCCCGCGTGGTCTTCCCCAAGTGCTCCGCCACCTTTCCTCCACCTTGTCCTTCCTATCCTCGTTCTCCCCCTCCTCCTCCTCCTCCTCCGCCTCCTCCTCCGCGTCGTCCTCTTCCTCGTCCTTATCCTCATCCTCCTCCTCCTCCTCCTGCCTCTCCTCCTCCACCTCTGCCTACTCCTCTTCATCTTCCTCCTCACCCTGTCCCTCCTCCTCATCCCCCTCGCTCTCATCTTCCTCATCATGCTCTTCATCCTGATCCTCCTCCTCATCATTCGTGGAAACGTAGGACACTGGTACGGGGTACTTGGGTTGGCATGACGAGGCCATCATAAAACTACTCCTCCTCCTCCTCCTCCTCCTCCTCCTCCTCCTCTTCCTCTTGCCTATTCTCCTTCCCCTCCTCTGCGTCCTTCTTCTTCTCCCTCAGATCCTCCGACTTCCATTCGCCTCGTCCTCCTTCTGTTCCGTTCCCCCCAGAATCCAACCTCCCCCTGCCCCTGCTCCCCCTCCCCATCCTCCTCCGCATCCTCCTCCTCCTCCCCCTCATGGTGCTCCACCGCGTCCTACGCCTCGTCCTCCTCCTGCTCCTCCTCCCTCATACCTCCCTCATACTCTTCCTTTCTCGACCTCGTCTTCAGGGTCGGCGGCAGAGGCCGCAAGGCTTCACAACACGACGACGACGACGACGACGACGACGACGACGACGACGACGACGACGACGACGACGACGACGACGGCGGCTGTGCCGGCAACGACGGCGGCGGCGGGGAGGCTCGGCGTCCGGCGGGCGGAGGCGCAACGCCAAGGCCCGGCCCTCCTGGCTGGGCTGCTCAGAGAGGTGGCGGGCGAAGCTGCCTGCCGCCCTTCCCTGGGGGGGGCACCCTCGGGCGACGGTGGGGGGGCGACGTCAACGACGGTGACGGCGACGGCGACGGCGACGGCGACGGCGACGGCGACGACGACGACGAACGGCGGCGGCGGAAGCGGCAGCGGCGGAACGGGCGGGCGGGCGGGCAGGCGGGCGACGGCCGACGACGGCGTCGACGGCGGGAAGCGGCGACGGCAAGCCGTGGGATCGGGCTCTCCTGCTGGCGCGAAAATCGATCCTTCGACAAAATAACAGGATTGCCCATGTTGAGCATGGACTGGCGAAACTCTGTCGCCTGATGGTAAATTATGAGCCACGTTTACATCACAAAGCGGTGGGAGGGCTGAGAAAGGGCAAGCAAACAAAAAAACTAAAAATCTGTGCCCCGATCTGTGCCGGTAGCCGCCGCGATCGCCGCGGCGATTTCCCAAACCGGCCCAGAGGTTTGGTTCGGGGTCGGATGTCACGCAACGAACCTGCTGGGCGCAATTCATTGATGCTGCCGCGCAGTCGTGCGAATGCAGTGACCTTGGCACTGGCTGGCGCATTGTTGCGGTTGGGGTCGGATATCTTCACGCAGCAATCCCCGCCCCGTTGGGCCTGACCGTCGCGGGGACTGCGCAAAGCCCCCTCCGGGCAGCATCAGCCTGTGCACAAGCCCCCTCCGCCCCCGCGGCGGCGGCAACGTGCGACGGTGACGGCGGCGGCGGGCGAAGCTGTCCGCCGTCTTCCCTGCAAGGCGCTGGACGGGACACAAGACATACTAACACTGTGCGCCCCCATTGGGGGAGCACGTCCAAACCCAGGCAGACCATCGTCTCGGAGGTTGAGAGTGATATCGCAATGGGAAGGAAACGAAATCGGTTTCGGTTTTGTGTTCGCGTTGTGCGTGCGGGCGAGGCGAAGCTTCGTAGGAGCGCGAAGCGCATGACCCCGCCGGCACCAGGCCGATTCGAATGCAATGGGCCGCCCCTCCGCCCCAGGTGGGCGCGCGGTGGCCCCAGGTGTCCCGCCGTGGCATGCTGTGGTGTCCCGTTGGTGTCAGATTGGTGTCCCGTCGGTGTTCCGTTGGCGGTGGGCGGGCGGTGGCTGGGGTGCCTCGCCTTGGTATCGATAGTGAAGTCGATGAAAATATCGATAATGATAACGAATGGGAGGGATGGCGAGATCGATCGAGGGATCCTTCCTCCTCTGCGTGAAACTGTGGCGGCTGGGGTAGTGGGGAACAAAAAACACTCGGGTCAGGGACACCTGCCGGGCGCCGCGGAAAATGTGGTAGGACGAACACCGGATAATATTATTCGTGAGAGAAGGCGCCCGCCAAGAGTGACGACACGCATTTGAATATGGTCACGAAACCAAATTAAGGTGAAATAGTAAGCAGTAGACAAGACCTGGTAATGGTGAGCGAGGCCTTGACAAGTCAAGGTACGGACTGACAACATGCAATTATAGGGTTGCGGCCCAGGGTCTAAGATAACCCCGAAACTTGTACCCACTTCCCTCCAAGACCCCCCCACCACCATGGTAAAGTGTGTAACCCAATCCCCCGAATATATGTTGTTGCATAGGTTGTCTAGCCAAGCTGAGGAATGGAGCAAGAAACAAAAAGACACACAGAAGCACGGCAAGCATAGTGACTTCGACACGTGCATCCACCACGGATATCTCAGTGGTGCTACGAGGGACGGTATGCAACGCGTGCTCCACAACTGGTACGTGGGCAGATTGCAAGCGTGGCCACGGTTATGGAGCAAAAAGGCTGGGCTCTATGTTCACAGTGGCGGAGTAACGGGGAAGGTCTATCAAGAGGAGAAGAGAGAAGTGATGTAAAGGCAGATGTGCCAGCCGTACGGATCTTGGGTCGTCCCCCAAGGTTCGCGGTTCACCCCAAACCTCATTGGTCCAGAAACCTCCGTGATGTTTGTCAGATGTTTCTCTGGTTAAGCACGAACCTACGGTAATCGAGTATGCTTAGATTGGTCTGAATGCTAGGCGTGCCTGTCTCGATTGACAGAAGCTGTGGTACGGGCAAATGTGGCACAATAAACAAGAAACACAGCTGCGCAGAGTAGTAGCCTGGAGAAAAAAGGCATGTATACGCCTCCTCCGCCACCATCCTCCTCCTCCCCTCCTCCTCCTCCTCCTCCTCCTCCTCCTCCTCCTCCTCCTCCTCCTCCTCCTCCTCCTCCTCCTCCTCCTCCTCCTCCTCTCTCCTCCTCCATCCTCCTCCTCCCCTCCTCCTCCTCCTCCTCCTCCTCCTCCTCCTCCTCCTCCTCCTCCTCCTCTCTCCTCATCATCATCATCATCATCATCATCATCATCATCATCATCAGCATCATCATCATCATCATCATCATCATCATCATCATCATCATCATCATCATCGTCATCGTCATCGTCATCATCAGCATCATCATCATCATCATCAGCATCAGCATCAATCATCATCATCACATCAGGCATCAGCATCATCATCATCATCATCATCATCATCATCATCATCATCATCATCATCATCATCATCATCATCATCATCATCATCAGCATCAGCATCATCACCATCATCATCATCATCATCATCATCATCATCATCATCATCAGCATCATCATCATCATCATCATCATCATCATCATCATCATCATCATCATCAGCATCATCAGCATCAGCATCAGCATCAGCATCATCATCATCATCATCATCATCATCATCATCATCATCATCATCATCATCATCATCATCATCATCATCATCATCATCATCATCATCATCATCATCATCATCATCATCATCATCATCATCATCATCATCATCATCATCATCATCATCATCATCATCATCATCATCATCATCATCATCATCATCATCATCATCCGCCTCCACCTCCGCCTCCGCCTCCGCCTCCTGCTCCTGCTCCTGCTCCTGCTCCTCCTCCTCCTCCTCCTCCTGCTCCTCCGCCGCCGCCGCCTCCTCCGCTTCCTCCGTCTCCGCCGCCTTCTCCGCCTCTTCCGCCTCCTCCGCTCTCTCCGCCTCCTCCTCCTCCTCCTCCTCCTCCTCCTCCTCTCCTCCTCCTCTCTCCTCATCTCATCCTCCGCCTCCTCCCCTCCTCCTCTTCCTCCTCCTCCTCCTCCTCCTCCTCCTCCTCCTCCTCCTCCTCCTCCCCCTCCTCCTCCTCCTCCTCAGTATCCGTCTCTTTCTCCGTCTCATGCTCCTTCTCATCCTCCTGTTCCTCGTCCTCATCCTCCTCCCTCCTCCAGTTCCTCCTCCTCCTCTTCTTTTCCTCCTCGTCCTCCTCCTCCTGCCGCCGCCTCCTCCTCCCTCCTCCTCCTCCTCCTCCTCCTCCTCCTCATTATCGTTATTCTCCTCCTCCCCCTCCCCCTCCTCCTCCTCCTCCTCCTCCCCCTCCTCTTCCTCCACCTCCTCTTCCTCCGCCTCCTCCTCCTCCTCCTCCTCCTCCACCTCCTCCTCCTCCTCCGCTCCGCATCCGCCTCCTCCTCCTCCTCCTCCACCTCCGTATCTCCTCCTCCTGACCTCTTCCTCCTCTTTCTCATGGTACGCCTCCGCCCTCTCCTGATCCTGTGTCGCATCTTTCTCCTCTTCCTCGTTCTTTTTCTCGTCCTCCTCCTCTGCCTCCTCCGCCCCCGACTCCTCTTCCGTGCATGTTTCCTCATCCGGTTCCGCCTCCACCTCCGCCGCCGCCTCTGCCTCCGCCTCCGCCTCCGCCTCCGCCTTCACGTTCGTTTCCGTCTCCTCTTCCGCCTCCGCCTCCACCTCCGCCTCCGCGTCCGCCTCCACTTCCGCCTCCGCATCCGTCTGCGTGTCCGCCTCCGCCTCCGCCTCCGCCTCCGTGTCCGCCTCCACCTCCGCCTCCGCCACCGCCTCTTCTTCTTCCTCCTCCTCCTCCCCATCCTCTTCCTCTTCCTTCTCCTCTTACTCCTCCTCATCCTCCTTCTCCTCATCCCCTTCCTCCTCCTCCACCTCGTCCTCCTCCCCATCAAAATGTGGCCCTCGCCGACATGGCGCCGCGCACATTCGTCTAAAACTACTGCCGAAGCTTCACGGATTGAGACCGGCCTCTTTTTTTTTAATGTGGCTATCGCCGTAGCGCCGCGCACATTCGTTTCGCAAGAGTTTCACTGATTCCCATGCTCAACGTACTAGAAATGGCGTGTTGGAAAGATTCAGGAGCATGCGGGTGCAACAATTATGTTGGCTCGCGGTGCTGACGTCCAAAAATGATTGCTAGCACGATTCCGCACCGTCAAGCCGCAGCAATCAGGTTGATCCGTGGCGTTGAAATCTCGGAGAGAGCGTGATCCACCTTTACTATGGAAAATTGCCAACCTTTTCCTCCGGAGCCCGGGGGTCGCCCCCCCCCCCTCCGAAAATCCCCCCCCCCTGCTGGAACCCCCCCTCTCCTCCCCCGGCAAAACCCCCCCCTCCCCTAACCCCTCCCCCCCCCCTCCCCCTCGAAAACCGGGGGGGGGGTACTACCCGGTTCGAACCCCTCCCCCCCCCACCCACCCCCTCCAGATCCGGAAAACCAGGGGGGTCACTACCGGTTCGAACCCCCCCCACCCCTCGAAAACCGAGGGGGATCACTACCGGCTCGAACCCCTCCCCACCCCCCCCACTCACCGCCATCAAACGACTCCCGGTCCCTACCACCGTCCGCATCACATCCCCCACTGTTGTTCCCAGCACCACTGTCCTCACCCCCACTGTCCCACTGTGTCCCCACCAGTGCCCCCACCACTGTCGCACTGTCCCCACTGTCCCCACCACTGTTCCCACCACGGTTCCACTCTCCCCACTGTCTCCACGGCCCCAACCACTGCCCGACTATCCCCACTGTCCCCACTGTCCCACTGACTCCTCCGCTGTCCCACTGAGCTGTCCCACTGTTCCCACCACTGTCCCCACTGTCCCCACCACTGTCCCCACTGTACCTCTGTCCCATTGTCCCACCGCCGTCCTCGCCACCGCCTTCACCACTGTCCCCACCACCATTGTACCCTCCACTGTCCCACTGTTTCCACCTCATTCCCACTGTGCCCACACCACTGTCCCCACCACCACCGTCCCCACCACTGTCCACTGTCCCCCTGTTCCCACCATTGTCCCCACCACTGTCCCCACCACTGTCCCCACCACTGTCACCGCTGTCCCCTCACCACTCCCGCTGTCCCCTCCACTATCCCCACCAACACCGTCCCCACCACTGTCCGCACCCCCACTCGGTTTTCGAGGGGGGGGGGGGGGTTCGAACCGGTAGTGACCCCCCCCCCCTTTTCACGATGAACTGGGGGGGGGGGGAGGGGTTCGAACCGGTAGTGACCCCCCCTGGTTTTCCGGAGGGGGTGGGGGGGGGAGGGGTTCGAACCGGTAGTGACCCCCCCCGGTTTTCCGCCAGCAGCGGTAGAACACGCTCTTTCAAATCTCGAGAACACTGTTTTGGCATGATTCAGGATATTCGAACGGTTGTCTTCCAACGAGGCAGTTCCCTCAATGGAAACGAACCATTGTAGGGGCCTCTGAACAGGGAGTTTGGAAAGAGGGTTGATCCATCATCGTTGATGACTCTTGCGTTTACACTGGTCCTCCTCCTCCTCCTCCTCCTCCTCCTCCTCCTCCTGTTCCTCCCGCTCCTCCCCCTCATCCTCCTCCTCCTCCTCCTCATTTTCCTCCTCCTCCTCATTTTCCTCCTCCTCCTCCTCTTCGGCCTCCTCCTCCTCCTCCTCCTCTTCCAGACCCTGTTTCTCTTGTTTCTCCTCTTCGTCCTCGTCCTCGTGCAGCTCTTTACAAAAGGAAACCGACTCGAGCAGAGGCGGGTGGCGCCAACGAGAGCTGAATGAGAAAATCCGACCCCTGCCCAAGTATAATGATGTAGTACCGAGGTCGGCGCTGGTAGCACAAGTACTGCTGGCAAGGAGGGGCGTGTGCCGAACCGATGGCGCTTTTCGGTGGGGTGGCCTGGAGCCAACCGAAGATGAAGGACGGGAAGGGCGGGGCGGGCGAGAGAGGAGAGCTGAAGCAACGGTAGAATAAATAATCAAGGGGCAAGAACAAAGAGCATGGAGAAAGAAACGGGTTAACAACGGAAAGCAGCGCAACGTCCGTAGCACGGGGCAAGCAATTCGTAATACGTTACTACGAACTTCGGAAAACAAGCCATGAGTTTTGCAAAACACAAACAACCCGTAGTACGGATTCTGGACGGGCAGAATTTCGCCCCAGGATCTTCAAAAGAAAGTCGGAGCCCTCCTGGAGCGAGCTAAGATGCATTTCCCGAGAGACGCGACACCACACGCCACGCACGGGCCACCTCTGCCACCGCGTGCCCGAACCGGCGCAGCTGGCGAGAGCAGCTGGGAGGGCAAGTGGGAATGGAGGAAAAAGGGGGGAGAGAGCAGGAAGGAACCGCAGTGGGGGGCGACAGACGCGCGCACTCCGCGTAGGCGTTCGCGCGCCCGCCGGCCCAGCGCCCGAGCCCCGCGGGCCCGGCCCCCCCGCCGTAGACGCGGAAGGAAAGCGAGGAGGCGGGGTTCACCAGCACCTGGCCGCCGTCGGGGAAGAAGACGGCCTGGCCAGACGCGGCGGCGGCTCGGGCCCGGGGCAGGGCTGGCCCAGGACTCGTCAGCGTGTCCAGCTCATTTCAGTTTGTCGGTAGCTTTCGGGTTGCCTGGAAAGTGATGCGTTCAACATGCCCCAATGTTCTGTGGGCTCAGGCATTTTCCGAATGTTACTGTTCAGTTGTTTCCAACTTTCAGGCACCTCCCAGACGTTTCTCACTTGTCTTGACATTCGGGGCCCGCTCGAAAATCCCAGGAGGCCTCTGGGCGTAGGCGGCCTAGGGCGCTTCCTCTTCCAACTCCCTGTTTCCCTTTCGGGGAGGGGTTTACCCCTCCCCCTACCCGCTCTCCTGGACCTGGACGGGGGGGGGGGCCACGACGCGTTAGAGCGTCCCCGAAAAGTGCTCCAAGATGGCTCAAGATAGCGCAAGATGCAAGTGGCCAAAGAGCTCCCCAAGGCCCCGAAGAAGCCAAATTCCTTCCAACACATAAGGCAAATCTATGTTTGTTGCGTTCTCGCCTTTTCGTTTCCGATGGCCTTTTCGAGGCCTCAAGATGGCTCCAAGAGGGCCCACGAGGGCCCCAAGAGCGCTCAAGAGCGCTCCAAGAGCGCCCCAAGAGGCGATCTTTGGGGTTCCAAAGGGGCAACGCTAAAACAAATTCCCTCTTCTTTGATCGATGTCCTCCAGGATGGCCCCAACAAGCACCCAGGCGGCCCCTAGGCCCCAGGAGGGCACCACAATGGCCCCAAGAGGCCCCCCAAAGGCCCCCCAAAGGCCCCCCAAAGGCCCCTTAGAGAACCCAAAGCGGCCCCAAGAAGCCCCTCCGAGACACCCAAGACGCCCACGAGCCTCACAGGACCGCCAAGAGATCCCCAAGCCGTCCCAAGAGGCCTCCAAGAAGCGCCCAAGAGATATCCCCCGAGGCTTCGAGAGGCATCCAAGAGACCTCTGTCCCTTTTGCTTGCCCTCCTCCTCCTGCTCCTCCTTCCTCCTCCTACTCCTTCTCTTCTTACTCCTCCTCTTCCTCCTTCTCCTCCTCCTCCTCCTCCTCCTCCTCCTTGTCCTCCTCCCTCTCCTCCTCCTCATCCGATTCATCTGCCTTCTCCCCACTCCCTCATCCATCCATCCAGCCTCCTCCTTCTCATCCTCTCTCCTTCGCACGGTGCCCGTCCCCCACTTTGCTCCCGCACTTCCCTGATCACCTCAATTCGCCTGGACATCGTTTCTGGATGGGATGGTGAAGATACTCTGTTTTGGCACGCGAGCGCGCGAAACGAGTCGAACGGCGGGCATGCAGGGTCAGGCTGTGCCACCGACAAAGAGAAACACACATATGCGAGCGGCGCTCGGCAGTGAGCGGGATGGAGCTCAGCGCGGCCAAAACGGGCTGGTGGGGATACGCGAAACGTCTAGGATCATTTTCCTGGCGACCAGAAGCTACTTTACCAGGGGCTGAAGTTGAGCAAGCGCGAACCCCGCAAAGTACTAGAGGAGCCCCTCGAATCCCACAAGCCCTTTCGGGCATGAGTGGTCTAACGCGTTTCCTATCCCATCTTCCCTCTTCCCTTTCCGGGAGGGGTGTACCACTGCTCCCTATTAAGGCACGCCCCCACCCCCACCCAGCTGGCGGCCAACCCAGAACCATGCCAACCCCATGCGGGCCACCCCCCTCACCATCCCCGCCCAACAAACAACAACACAAAACGCACTGTGCTTCCAAACTGAGAGCATGCGCGGCCAACCCGATGCTCGCCCCCCCCCCCCCCCCCGCCATGCCAGCCCCAAAACAGTACAAAATACACTTTGGGGACATGTCTTGAGTCATGTTCGTTAGGCCCGCGAGCAATTTGTATAGTTGTTGAAAGAGACGGCGGGGGTGTCAGCATACTCCCTGCTGCGCGCAAGGCGACCATCACTGACAAAACACAATACACAATGCACCTCGCGGCTAAATCTGGATCATGCGCGGCCACCCCGCGATCACAGTCAAGTGGTTTTTGACAGAGGCGGCGGGGGTGGTGGCGCGTGGCCTGCTGTGCGCAGGCCCACCAGACACAATGATGGGCATTAGTTTTCGACAAGGACTGTGGGGGCCGGCATGTTTCCCGATGTGTGCTGCCACGTGCGCAAGCACACCTCGCGCACTCCGCACATGCCGCGAACGTGGCGCACTTGGCGCGGCTGGAGTGTGCAGCACACCTGGCGCATTCGGAACACGTGGCGAGTCTGGCGAACCAGGCGTGCCTGGCACGCTCGGGCCCCAAGGGCTGCCTGGCGCGCGTGGCGGCCCCGGCACGCGTGGCGCACCTCGCCCCCAAGCGTCGCGCACCTGGGGCCGGCATTGGTTCCCAGCAAGTGCCCATCCAAACACGACCGCTGAACATGCTCAATCTCGGGTGCTACTCATGTGTTGGGAGGGCGGGCGGGACTGAGCTTGACAGCTTGCGGGCGGGCGAGTCGCTTGATTCCTACCCTGTACCTCCTGCAATTTTCCTTTCCGGGCGGAAAGGAAATGGGGGGCGCGCGATCACCGAATCACATTGCGGCGCGAGTGGCACAATAGCGTGAAGCAAACGCCCGCCTGGCAAGCAAACTGGGATCACCACGCGAACCGACCCGCCACGGGGAATGTCATCTGACAATCTATGACCTGAGAGAGAAAGGGATGACAATATGAAACGGACAGGCCAAACGGGCAAATGGAGGAGGACCGGACGAGGAGGACACGGTCGAGGAGGAAAGGGCAACGCACGCGCACGCGCATTAAACAATACGAATAGACAGCCTTGCCGTGACAAAGCGATCGACGGAAACCGCAACACTTTCAGAGAAATTCGGATATCGCACAGTCGTAGACAAAACGTGCGAATGACAAATACATCTCGACTGGGGAACGGAGTTTGACGACCAATGGATAGAACCTACCGCGGGGTACGTAAGTAGAGGACGACAAGGAGCACACAGGAGCCGATTTTGCCCATGCGCCCGCGTGGACACGGGCGCGCAATATGTCATATGCCTGAGCCGAGAAGATAGCAGAATGGACGGATAGAGAAGAGATCTGGGCAGTCCTCATACACACAAACACCGTTCCGAATCCCCCCCGCCCCACGCGGGTTCCGGGCCCGCGCGGGACAGGGACGGCACTCGGGAACAGCGGTGTGACGACCTCTCAGCACACCCATCCCCTGCACACCCTTCCACTACTCCGCTCAAGGCCTCCTACAGGAAAACTCGTTTTCCTCCACCTCAACTCTCGCTTCTTGCCGAATTGGCCCTGAGGCCGGTCTGGCGGCGCATTCAAGCCGCTCGACGACTCGCCGACGGCAGTCGGGGTAGCGGGGATCGCGCGCACCATCCCCCCAAACAAAGGGCCGCGCGCCCGCGGCGCCCAAGAGTGGGCCCCAATGCCGGCATCTCTTACCAGCGATCCCTCCGACGATTGGTTTTGCGTTCGCCTCGCCCTCGTCTCCTGGAGATCTACCTGCTGGCGCAGTGCTTCGAGCATCGCAGCCCGCTCCATTGGGCCCTGGCCGCCGCGGCAACCCTTGTGCGGTGGCGACGTCTTCGATGTTCCATATTCCTCTGCTAGACTTGGCTGCGGCGGCCCCGTGCGTCGTTGCCATGCTCAGTTCCTGACTGACCTCGCCGGCGCCGACAAAGACGCGCCGCCCCCGCCTGGGCTCAACATTGATTGATCGCATCACATCCAAAGTAGGGCACTCGTTTTCCCCGGGCACCCCGCGCAGGAAAAGGCGCGCCCTCTTTCTTCTCACTCACGCACTCACACACTCACAGCATCATCATCATCACCATCAGCACGGCATCACCATAACTTAAACACTCGCACGCACTCTCATGATCCCACTCACTCACTCACTCACTCACTCGCTCACAACTACTCGCCCCCATCATCAGCGCCATCACCATCATCACCATCACCAGCATCATCGTCATTGCCACAACACCATCGTCAGCATAACCTCGTCTGCGCATGATTATCGGGGACGTCTCCGGCGCCCCCCCGCCACGAGGCCCGGCGCTCATTTTTTGTAAAAAAAGGAACGGGTCATCAGAACCGTGTAACTCTCGACACTTTTGGGCCCCTGAGGCCTGGATTTGGAGGAAGCATCATGCGAGGGCCTCGTCTGCGAATGAAGCGCGAGGAAGCCTCGGGCGGGGGGCGCCGCCCCGTGGGGCCCGCCGCTTATGCGCGTAATCTGAGCGGGTCGTCACAAACCCTGTAGCTCTCGTCACTTTTGGGCCCCTGAGGCCTGGACATGGAGGTAGTATCAGGCGGGGGCTTCGTCTGCGAGTGAATCGCCAAGAATGCGCAAGCGGGGGGCGACCCCCTATCAGGCCCGCCACTCATGGTTTGAATCAGAGCGGGTCACCGGAAGCCTGCAACCGTCGTCAATGTTGGGCCCTAAGGCCTGAATATAAAGGAAGTGCCAGGCGGGGGCCTCATGCGTGAGTGAATTGCGTGAAACTCTCAGGCTGGCGCCCCCTCCCCATGGGGCCCGCCGCTCATGTTCGCAATCCGAGCGGGCCATCAGAACCCTGTAGCTGTCGTCACTTTGGGGGCCCTGAGGCCTGGATGTGGAGGAAGTATCACGCGGGGCCTCGTTTGTTCGCGAAGTCGAGGAAGTCTCGGGCGTGGGCCCTCTCCCCGGGGGGCCCGCCGCTCATGCCTTTAATTTGAGCGGGTCGTCCGGGCCCTGAAACTCTCGTCACGTCGGGGCCCCTGGGGCCTGGATGTGGAGGAAATATCAGGCGGGTGGCGGCCGCGCTGTGCATCGCGCTGGACCTCCTTGCATGCCGCGGAAGCAATGGCACGCGCGACGTGCAGGAGCCCGCGCGCAAGCGGCCGCGCCACCACCTCGGGCGCGCCCCAATCGCGTTGCACCGCGGCGATGTCCCGCAAATGAAGCCGACGGGCAGCATCGCCCTCCCGACGGACGTGGGCGAGCTCCCGGGCGACGGGCCCCACGCGCACGCGGAGCCACCGA